ATTATGAGATAGCTAAGTCATAATTATGAGATAGTATCTCATGAGATACTATCTCATAATTATGACTTAGCTATCTCATGATTATGAGATACTATCTCATCTCATAATTATGACATACTATCTCATAATTATGACATACTATGTCATAATTATGACATACTATCTCATAATTATGAGATAGTATCTCATGAGATACTATCTCATAATTATGACATACTCTCATAATTATGAGATTCTATCTCATAATTATGACTTAGCTATCTCATGATTATGAGATACTATCTCATCTCATAATTATGACATACTATCTCATAATTATGAGATACTATCTCATAATTATGAGATACTATTCCATAATTATGAGATACTATCTCATAATTATGACATACTATCTCATAATTATGACATACTATCTCATAATTATGACATACTATCTCATAATTATGACATACTATCTCATAATTATGAGATACTACTGTATCTCATAATTATGATGAAATTATCAGGAGGTACAAGTTTTATTTATTTTTTTTATCAGTGTGGCGGAAATGGGCTTCCATAGAAAGCTATTATATTCAGATGATGTATTGACTTTATTCATCTCTTCTGTATTTGACAATAAATACAACTTTTTCTTACATTCGGCTGTTGACATGGAGTGCAAACTCCGCCCACCTGGCTACCCGCTCAGTCAACCGAGCTACAAATGATGCGCAGCTAAAGGCGTCTCTGCACTTTCTGCTAGCTTCTTGACTCGGGTAATGTAAACAATGTTTACAGCAACGTTTTATAAACACAGTAATTAGCAGTTTTCTCTCGTTGTTGTTACTGTGAAACGTTAGCTCCTGCTTGTTAGCACCGTGACCTGACTTGTGTTCCTGTGGTTTTATGTCTGGTTGTAGAGCAACAGTCGTTCAGGGTTCAGACATGCAGGTGAAGAGGGTCGTTCTGAACTCACGACCAGGTAGGTGACCTTTCTCAGAACTGAAACTCTTCCTTGTATCATTTTTCTGCTACCGCGTTGCTTTCTGTGCACATACAGGTAAAAACGCTGAGCCAAGCCCTGGAAACTTCCGCCTGGAAGAGACAACTTTAGCACCTGACTTACCTGATGGGGAAGTTCTGGTTCGGACGGTTTACCTCTCAGTGGACCCTTACATGGTACTGAAGCAGTCTGCCCATGTCTCTGTTAGCAAAATTATTTAAAACATTTTGATGAACATTTGATAAAGCAGGTCTTGTATGCACACAGAGAACACAAGAAGGAGTAAACCCTGTTTAAACTGGCTGCACAAACACAAACATTGCTCTCATTTGATACATTTTACAGATACTAAGATGAAATTTGGTGTGGTAGAAGCTGAGACTTATCTAATATAATATAACTGAGTACTAACAGATTGCTGAAGAGATTGCATTAAAACTTTGCCTGTGTTTACGGCAGTTAGCAAAATATCTCACAAATCACTGGTCAGATTTGACCGAAACGTCCAAGAAATAATCATTGGCTGTTTGTAGAGATGTTGACATTTCATCAGCAGCTGCTGCCGTTTTCTTCCCAAACTGCTGTGACCAGATTTTGCAAGGCTTTTCGGTGCATTTGCTTGTAATTTCCTCCTGCTTCGTTATTTCTACGAATTTCAACAAATCGGGCTGCAGTCAGGTAGTTAGCTACAGCCTCGTCTTTGAGTTTTATAATTTTTGTTGATGTGTTTTGAAGAGACAATTTTTTGAAAAGAGGATCAAAGTAAATCACCCGAGTTTTTCTAGTGACCCCTTAAAGAGATAAGTTGCCATGAAGAACATTATTTTATCTGCCCTTCTTCCAAATTTGATAATGATTTGAAACATCAAAGTATGTTTTTTTTAATCCGGGGTTACACCATATTTTGTGACCGTCATATATTGTGACCAGAGGGGGCGCTGTTGCGTTTCTACAACAGAACTTGGCCGAACATGGCCACAAAGAAGAATATGATACGCCAACGTAAGCCAGAGGCTGAAGACATACGAAGAAAAAACAAAACAAAAAC